CCCCATGTCTAGAGGTTCTCTAGTTCCTTTTCTCTGGAAAACCTTTGTTTTCTTTTAGAAAGTTGACTGAAGGGTGGGGGTTGTGGCTCAGCAGTAGAACACTCGCCTCTCATGTGTGAGACTCTGGGTTTGATCCTCAGCACCACATAAAAATAAATAAAATGAAGGTATTGTGTCCAACAACAATTGGAAAATAAATGTTTAAAAAAAAAAAAAGAAAGAAAGAAAGTTGACTGAAGCTGGGCGTAGTGGTGCACACTTGTAATCCTAGCAGCTTGGGAGGCTGAGGCAGGAGGATCACGAGTTCAAAGCCAGCCTCAGCAACAGCTAGGCACTAAGCAACTCGGTGAGACCCTGTCTCTAAATAAATACAAAAAAGAGATGGAGATGTGGCTCAGTGGGAGTGCCCCTGAGTTCAATCCCAGATACCAAAAACAAAGAAAGAAAGTTGACCGAGGTGGGGAGGAGCTGTCCTGGCAGGAGCCAGGTACCTGGTGGTATGCAGTGGTAGAAACGACCTGCATGTCAGTCCAGCTGCCATGAGCTCTGTCATCTCTCCACCTGTTGAAGTCAGGACCACTTTTCCTTATGGATCTCTCTCTCTCTCTCTCTCTCTCTCTCTCTCTCTCTCTCTCTCTCTCTCTTTCTCTTTTAATTCCTTATATTAGAGCAGCTTCAGGTTCACAGGAAAACTGACCCAAAAGTAACAGAGATTTCCCTTATGCCCCCTGCCCACACACATGCACAGCCTCTCCAGTGATCAACATCTTCCACCAAAGCCTAGTGTTTCTTTTTAAAAGTCGGAAAAGTCTTTCCAAAATCCCCCACCCCAAAAAATAAATGTTATTTTCTCATGACCTTTTCTGAACCAATCATTAGTAAGTAAGATTAGAGAGATTGCTATTGGTGTGGGGCTAAATGGATATTGGGAAGTCATCACCATAACTACCACCATATCCCTGCTGATCTCTTTGTTCCTTAGGGATAATGTCTTTTTTACTCCTTTGCTGTCATTTTAGTTGGCTTTGGGGGAGGGACCAAGAAATAAATGTGTATGATGTTTCTGCCCTGATTAACACTTCCACATTCGTTGCAGGATTACTCACTGTAGCCAAGATATGGAAGTAACCTAAGTGTCTGCTGATGTATTAAAATATAAAGAAGTTTGGGTACATATAACACCATGGAATATTATTCAGGCATAAAAAAGAAAAGAAATTCTGACATTTTCAGTAACATGGATGAACCTTGTAGGCATTATGCTGGTGAAATAAGTCAGATGGAGAAAGACAAATACTGTATGATTCCACTTGTGTGTAGAATCTAAAAGAAACAAACTCATAGAAACAGAGATTTCCAGGGGCTGAGGGATGAGGGGAAATGGATAGATCCGAGTAACTTTCAGTTATAAGATGAATACGTTCTGGGGAATCTGGTAATTACGGTAAACAATAGTACGTTATATTCTTAAAATTTGCTGAGAAAGTAGATCTTGAGCTTTCTCACCATGGGAAGAAAAAATGGAACCAAGCACAGTAGCACACACCCACAATCCTAGATACTCAGAAGATTAAGACAAGAGGATCATAAATTTGAGCCTGGGCAATATAGGGATAACACTCATATCTTAAGATTAAAAAGCACCCCTGAGTTCAAACCCCATACCACTCCCACTTCCACACACACGCAGGGCCAGGGGTGCAGCTTGGCAATAGAATCTAGCACGCACAAAGCCCTGGGTTTAATTCTCAGTTCCAGGGGAAAAAATGGTAATTAGTGGAGGTAAGGGATATGTTAACTCTATCAATTATAGTAACCATTTCACAAACATGCATATATCACATCATCACATTGTACACCCTCAATATGTGTAGCTATTTGTTTATTGTGTAAAGTGTAATGTATTGCACCTTATTAAAGTTGGGAAAACATTAAAATAAAAAAGTCAAGGAGTCAGGCATGGTAGGGCATGCTGGTAATCACAGCAGCTTGGGAGGCTGAGGCAGGAGGATCCCAAGTTCTAAAACAGCCTCAGTAACTTAGTGAGGCCCTAAGAAACTTAGCAAGACCCTGTTTCAAAATAAAATATAAAAAGGGATGGGGATGTGGCTCAGCGGTTAAGTGCCCCTGGGTTCAATCCCTGGTACAAAAAAAAAAAAAAAAAAGTCGAGTAGTCCTGAAGGACATAAATCAAAAAACTAATAGCACTTGATCTTGGGCAGCAGGATTATGTGTGATGTTTTCTGTCCTTCTGTTTGAGAATCATCTAAATTGTTTTACATTGAGATCTTAAGCCGTAGGCATGTAATAGTGCAGCTTCTCTTCCCAGTCCAGAAGAGTAGGCATCGAAGGAGGACTGGGGAGATGTGTTCTTTGGTCTGTAGACCTTTGGCATGCAGAATGAATGGCATCCTTGTTTTTGTAATTATGGGAAGGTGAGTGTCAATGATAAATTGTCATTCCTATGAAATTTTCATAATAACGCTGAAAAACTACTTTTGGCTTTGTTTTGTTTTGTAGCAAATATATATAACATAAAATTTGACATTTTATCATTTTAAATTGTACTAAGTATATTCAACATATGCAGCCATGTCACACACATATGCATATGTGACATGCAGCCATGTCACACCCGTTTCCAGAACGTTCTCTCAACTGCAGTTGAAACTCTGACCCATTAAACACTTATTCCCCATCCCTCCCTCCCTCTGGCATCTCAAAACCACTGTTCTATCTCGTGTAAGTGGAATCATACAGTGTTTGTCCTTGGTGCTGGTGATTTCACTTAGCATGCTGCCTTCAAGGTTCAGCCATAACATAGTAGGTATCAAAATTTCACATGTTTTCTCCAGTCAGACTGGCAATTATCGAGAATACAAATAATAATAAATGTTGGTGAGGATGTGGGGTAAAGGTTCATTCATACATTACTGGTGGGACTGCAAATTGGTGCAACCAATCTGGAAGGCAGTATAGAGATGCCTCAAAAAACATTTGACCCACTTGTCTCACTCCTAGGTTTATACCCGAAGAACTTAAAATCAGTCTACTATAGTGGCATAGCCACATCGATGTTTATAGCAGCTCAATTCACAATAGCTAAGCTATGGAACCATCCTAGGTACCCTTCAACAGATGAATGGGTAAAGGAAATGTGGTATATATATATACACATTTGGGATATTACTCAGCTCTTTTAAAGAAGAATGAAATTATGGCATTTGCCAGTAAATGGATGAAACTGGAGATTATCGTGCTAAGTGAAATAAGTCAGTCCCTAAAAACCAAAGGTTGAATGGTCTCTCTGATACGTGGATGCTAACACATAATAAGGGAGGGTGGGAGGGAAAGAACAGAAGCTCATTGGATTAGACAAAGGGGAAAGGAGGGGGGATGGGAATAGGACAGACATTGAAATAAATCGGACATAACTTTCCTATGCTCATATATGAATACACAACCAGGGCTGGGGATGTGGCTCAAGCGGTAGCACGCTCGCCTTACATGCGCAGGGTGCTGGGTTCGATCCTAAGCACCACATAAAAATAAAGATGTTGTGTCCACCGGGAAAAAAAAAAATGAATATACAACCAGTGAAACCTTACATCATGTTAATCCACAAGAGTGGGATCAGAATTGTAATGGGTTGCAATCATGTATGTATAATATGTCGTTTTGACACCCTACTGTCATGTATATCTAAAAACAACAAATAAATAAATAAATATAACCTTTAAAACATTTCACATGTTTTTCAGGCTTGAATAATATTTCATTGCAGGTATATACCACATTTGGTTTATCCATTCAACTATTGGTGGACATTTGGGTCATTCTACACCATTGTGATTTTTAAATGATCGTGCTTTGGAATCTGATTGCATTCAGGTATTTGAGACCTGAGATTTCAAAGCAACAAAGGACACAGGGTGAAAATGAGAGAAAAGGGTGACAAATCAAAAATGCTACTTCATGTGATGGGGGCGAGGCGATTTCAAAGCAGAAATCAGAAAATCATTTCCTTTTTTTTTAAAAAAAAAAAAAAACCTGATTTCCCCAAAACTTTTTTCCTCCCACATCAATCAACTGATAAAAACATTGAGTAGTAAAGACCACTAACAACTATTTCTCTTCAAACTTTTCACTAATATGGATGTGTCTGTTTCTTTATGCCTTGTTTTGTCTTGCTTTTCACTGCTTAAGAAGTCTATAATGCTGCCTGTTATTGTGACATTGCTTTTCTATAAGCTTCGTCATAATTGAGATGACATCTGTTAGATTTCCTTATATTCATGGAATTCATTCATTCCTTCATTGAGAAAAATCTCTCAACACCTACGAGGAGCCAACCATGCCAGGCGGTAGGAAAGTGGCTTGTCAAAAATCAGACTGAAGCACTCATTCTTAGAAGATGCTCTTAAACTACACGCAGCTCAGGACTAAGACACTGGCATGGCATTGGGGTCAGGAAAGAGTGGCCTATCACTGGGACAACAGCTTTTATGATGCCAGTGTGATAACGGTTTCTGAAAGTCGTGGTTGAATAGCAAGGACAGTATGCATGGGACTGTTTCTTCATTACTGGTATTTTGTGGTTTGGTCTGATCCTGTTCACTTGGTTGGAAGATCACTTTCTAAGGGAAATACCCATGTGGTGAGTACAAATCACTTTACATGCAGGTGGGTGAATTCATAGAAGATAGTTTGGGTTCAATTAACTCTCTGAGTTTTTTGCTCATCCTTGGGCCTTCCGCTCCTGCCTGGATCATGCCCCTCAAGAGCAGGCAGGGGAAAACCTAACTCCTCTGACCTACTATAGAGAGCTGGTCGCTTAACCCTTCAGCCTTAACATTTTTCCTTCAGCAAAATTGCTTTCTACCAGTCCTCCCTGACATGGTAGCAAGAGTAATCAGGCTGCTTTCTGGGCACCAGGAGACTGAATGGCTCTTGTTACCTCAGAAAAGTTGATTCTGCTTGTTCTCGACTCTTGCCTGTAGACCATCATCTGCAAATAGCATAAGTAGCAGTGCGTCTTCAAATCACAGCGGCTACGCGCCAGAGCCCCCTCTGCCCCCGGTTGGAGGTGACCTCACCAGCCGACTGTCCAGTGATGAAGGGGAGATGGACGGAGGCGAAGAATCTGAGAGGTTGGACTGTCAGTTCTCCGTGCACCATCCCAGACCTCTTGCGGTAGGCCTCCTCCTGTTCCCTTCCACGTGGCTTCCCCAGGGTCACATCCTCACTCAGGCACTTTGATGATCAAGGCAGAGGCTCGAATTCTTAAGGAGAGGGTGTCAGCACAGAGCTTTACCAAAGGCTTACCCTGAGGTTAAGTGATGGCATTACAAATGCCCTTGAACATCACAGAAAGAAAGGAAAGGGCTCCTGCCTGATTATAATCCTTTAAATACTTGGGTACTTATGGCCCACCCACCTGGAAGTGAAAATGTTTGAGAAATGACATTTATGTAAATGAACTCAGGAGCTAACCTTTTGGCCTTGTCCATCTAAAAATGAAGTGTCTGATGTCCAACGTTAGCAGGGCTGCTCTGGAAGCCATCCATCTTAGCCATGTGTCAGGTACCAGCCCTCGTTGGTGTTCTCCCTACTGGTTCTAAGTTATACTGTTATTATTGTGACCATATGGTGCCAGACTGAGAGAGAGGGTGGGCTGGGGTTGTAGCTCAATGGTAGTGTGCTTGTCTAGCATGTGTGAGGCACTGAGTTCAATTTTCAGTACCGCATATGAATTAATCTGGTGTATTAAAAAAAAAAAGAACTGAGAGAGGAATGGAGGTGGGGGGAGTTGAGGAATGGGGGAAGTATTTTTGTGTCAGCATGATTGCTTATTAACAAACAGGGCACTTTCTTTCCAATTCCTTAATAGTTCACTTTAACAATTCAGGTCATTGAAATCAAAGTGGGAAATCAAGGCATCAACTAGAGGCTGGTATATATTTGCCTTCTGAGCACATGAGAAGGGAAGTCTCTGGTGCCAAATGCAGGGGGCCTGGAACATGGGACACCACGGTGGTTTGCTCTGGTGCCAGTCTGAGCTGTTCAGGATTGGCTTTGACTACCTCTAGATCTCAGGGACCAGTAAGTTAAATGAGTCCTCCACCATGAGAGAGTGAGTTCCTCCTCCCTCCTATCTGTGTGATGAATGAAGGCCACATCCACTTTGTCCTTCCAGGGATGATGGTTACCTGTCGCTCATCTAGAACCTGAGATTGCCTCATGACCCTGTACAGAAATAGTTAGGAACGACTTGGAATCCTTTTCCTGCCAGTAGTAGAAAACTCATCTGCATACCCATGAAGGATATTTAATTATGTCATAAAGCAACAAAGCTAGAATTGTGTGCTTCTATGCTTGATTCAACTTTTCCACGATGTCATGGAATTAAAAAGCACCCTTTGTAGCCATCAGTGCCTTTTGTGCATGGTTTCAGTGCAGCCACTGTGGCTCCAGGGTCACATCCTCACTCAGTGGCATTGTGCACAGAATGGAAAGGGATACACAGAAAATGGACCTTCCAAGATGATGTGTTCTCTCAGTTAAAAATAATCTTTGGCCAGGAGTTGTGGCACTCGCCTATTATCCTAGCAACTCGGCAGGCCAAGACAGGAGGATTGCAAGTTCAAAGCCAGCCTAGGCAATTTAATGAGGCACTGAGCAACTCAGAGAGCCTGTAATTCTAAACAAAATATTAAAAGAGCTGGGGAAGGACTGGGGCTATAGCTCAGTGGTAGAGCACTTGCCTCGCACATGTGAGGCTTTGGGTTCGATCCTCAGCACCACATAAAAATAAATAAATAAAGATATTGTGTCCATCTACAACTAAAAAAAATTTTTTTTTAATTAAATGTTTTTAAAAAAGGGCTGGGGATGGGCTGAGGCTCAGTGGTAGAACACTTGCCTAGCATGCGTGAGGCCCTGAGTTCTATCCTAAGCACCACATAAAGATAGATAAATAAATAAAGGTATTGTGTCCATCTACAACTAAAAAAAAATTAAAAAGAAAAAAAGAGTTGGGATGCTGCTCAGTGGTTAAGCGTCCCAGAGTTCAATCCCCAGTACCAAAAAATGATGATGATGATGATGATGATGATGATAAATAATAATAATAATCTTCCTATGAAGCCCTTAGACTTCCCCTTATATATCTACCCGAAACAGGCCATATGCTCACCCCTATACTAGTGGCAGAGAAAGAAAGAATTTCAGTGACCTCAGATGAAACCAGCCATGATTCGTCCCAAGGTTCTGGGGAAGGACACCCTTCCCTGCTACTGCTCCCTGTCAGATATCAGAGCAAAGGCATGGTGCTCTTAGCAAGAGGAAGACAGGTCCAGGTGAGAGGAGATGCAGTGGGCAAGGTTGGCAGCCAGCAGGGCCTACGGTGACCACAGGGAAGATCGGCTTCCTACTGAGGGCACAGTATGCCAATCAGGAACGGGAGCCTCAGCAGCTGTGTTGTCTTTTATCTGTGGAATTAGATAGGTGGGGAACCAAGATCAAGAGCTCCCAAGTCTGCAAGAGAGATGGGCTTTCCCAGAAGATCAGACTCTGGAGGACATCAAGGTATTCGTCCCCAGGACAAGCTGCTGTAGTAGGTTAGCTAAACTCTGGACATGGCACATTTGTGTGCCATTAATGTTTTGCTGATTTAAATGGAAAAGCCACAGATCTGTTTCTTTGGTTTGTCTAATCTCGTGGCCAATTAATACATTAAATCATTTTTGTAATAAACACTTAATGTGTCCTTAGCAATTGGGATGAAGGAAGAAATGATGTCTAGGGGCTAGAGTTGGGGCTTAGCGTTAGAGCTCTCGCCTAGCACATGTGAGGCTCTGGGCCCGATCCTCAGCACCACATAAAAATGAATAAATAAGTAAAGGTGTTGTGTCCCACTACAACTAAAAAACAATATTTTTTTAAAAAAGAAAGGAAGAAAATGATGTCTAGACCTAGAATAACTCCTACAAACAGCTGGAGACCAGCTTCTGCATTGGAAAATTCTTTGGTATATTTTCCTGCTTGGCCAATAAGAACTTAGGGACACAAAAAATGTGTTCATCAGTGATACCAGATTTGGTAGGCACTAATATTTTAATGCAAAATCCCCCAAACACAAGCACAAACAGAACAAAGGGAAGGTCTTACATTTTCTCCTAAAAACTGTTCCAAAGGCTGGAGCCAGACGGGTTTGTGGAGTGGGTGCCAATCAGCACTATATCTGGGACAGAGGCCAGGGAGCTGCTGCAGGGCTGAGGAGCAGGGAAAACTGCATTTGAGTCACAGAGTCATTTGCAAACTTGTTTGAGCTCTAGACCAGCCTAATGTCACCTTCTCAGAGGCCACTCTGTCTTCTGGCTTTCCAGTTGTCCTAACATTATGATCAAGTGGTGTTTGCTAAACATTTGAATGACCATATTTCAACCATCTATTTTAAATGCAATGGTTTGCTTTAAACATTTTGGAGGAGCTTTGTCTCCCCAATCCTTTTTTTTTTTGGTCAGGGGTGTACCAGGATTGAACTCAAGGGCACTGGACCACTGAGCCACATCCCTAGCCCTATTTTTTTTTTTTTTTTTTAGAGACAGGGTCTCACTGAATTACTTAGCATCTTGGTTTTGCTGAGGCTGGCTTTGAACTCAAGATCCTCCAGCCTCAGCCTCCCGAGCCTCGGGGATTACAGGCATGAGCCACCACACCCAGCCAGATCAATTCTTTTTTTTTTTTTTTTTTTAAATATTTATTTATTTAGTTAGTTATTGGCAGACACAACATCTTTGTTTGTATGTAGTGCTGAGGATCGAACCCGGGCCGCACGCATGACAGGCGAGCGCGCTACCACTTGAGCCACATCCCCAGCCCCCAGATCAATTCTTTATCACAAACCTTTATGATTCTCATACAGAGGAGGAAGAGAATGGAGTCCCTGCTATTTATACACTAATAGCCATCAGGTACATAAGCATTATATATGTAAAATGAAATAGCCACGTAGTTACTCCAAGGTGAAGTACAATAGAATATATAATAGGTATGCCAGGGGAGCTCACAGGGGAAAGATCCATCAGATGAGCCTATTGGAAATGAGAATCTTGATTAGCGCACTGAATGGGGGACTGTCAAAGAGAAGAGAGCAGGAGAGGCAGAAGGGCAGTAGGAGCAAAAGCGTGGAAGCATGCTGTGGCCCCAGGCAGCCTGCAAGGGCCAATTCAAGCAGCTGAGGTCTGGACTAGGAAAGGAAGGCATTAGCCTGGTCAGAAGTGAAGTGGCTCTGTGACCTCTGTGACATCTGTAGGAAGGTATGGCCCATGGCACCAGAACCAGCATTTCCCATTACAAGGATGGGAGGCAGGGAGCCCCAAATTCTTTGAGAAGATGGATGATGTGGTGAACAAATGGAGCTCTGAAAAGTCTCCCTGGCTGCTTGTGATGGTTGTTTGCTTTTTAACCTAAAATGCTGGCCCAATCCCAGGAGTCGAGAATGTGGCCCCTGGTCCCAAGGAAGATTGAATGTAGCTATTGTTGGGATAGAAAGTGAGGTTCTGCAGAGTATCTCAAGCTCAAATTACAGCACCACAGAAATATTTTTGGCTTCAGTACTATTTGCTTCTTTATTTTGAGTAAAATGGTACCCCTGTGTGTTTTTATGCAAATGTTATTTTTCTCTGTGTGGTTTATATTAGCTTAATAACCTGTAATCAAAATTAAAATTTTGTTTTCCTCACAGTTTTGCTCATTCGGGAGTCGCCTCATGGGACGAGGGTACTATGTGTTTGATAGAAGATGGGATCGTTTTCGATTCGCACTAAACTCCATGGTAGAGAAACACTTGAATTCACAGATGTGGAAGTAAGTGAGCAGGTTCTGGGCAGTGTAAGGTCAGAGCTGCCCCACAGTCACCCGAACCCTAACTTCTACATAAACGTCAGCAGTTGGCATTTTCACAGAGCAAAGAGAGTCTGAAATCAGGATTTGTGATTAATTCTTCAACGTCAGCTCTTCTTCATGGTTTGCCTGAAGATTTCTAGAAATACATATGATGTGCTAGATATATACTTTTTATCTTCTTTGAAGATCATTTCTGTGTTGGTAATATTCTAAACTAAACAAAAAGGATATTAGATAAGATCATATTTCTTTGACAGGGCCTTTTTACTACTATTAAGAGCATCTAAGGATATTAAGAATATGCTTTTAGTAATGTTAACGATACAATAGCAATACTACTAAAGATTTTATGATTGGTTATAGACCAATTTCTAACTGTTTTCTGTCCTGTGGGGAAAATGTGTGCGGTTGCCAACAGGGCAGACCCTGAGCAATGCTGTGAAGTTGGTTAAGTTGATCTTTGGCCCTTCCCGTCTCCTTTGGGCCCCCTCCTCACCTCCGCTTGTCCCGTTTCCTTCCCTAAATTCCAACCTGTGTTCCATTTCTCTATGGACCTTTATTCTCCAACACTTCCCAATTTACTTTCATCTTAATAGGGGACTCACAAAAGGGAAGAAACCTCGATTGGATAGAATATGCTATTATGAAGGAACAACAGGCCTAGACCCCAACAAACCATGACACACACAAAGAGCTACCTTTTGGCCATTTGACAATGTAAGCCTCTGGGTGTCCCCCCACCCTGCTCCTACCAACAGGAGCTCTGAAGATACTATAATCCCATGGAAGCATGGATCATGTAAGTCTGGCCCCAGATAGTCCAGGAAAGCCAACAGCTGAAACCCCTACCCTGCCCAGAGCAGTCCTGGAAAGGCAGAAAAGGCATTCCCCAGAAGTGGGAGGGAACGGCATCCACAGTTTGCCCAGTCCTCGGTTCCCTCCTCTCCCAGCAGCTCTGGAACCTCAGCCCCTTTACACAATGAACTCGTAGACATGAGCCCCTCTGTGTATGCACTGAGCTCTCAGGGGACCTGGGACTATAGGTTGACATTTCACATAAACTAGGAAAGGGCCACAAGAGAAGCCTATCGTTTCTTCTCACTTAAGTGACTACTCAGTGTGGCTAAAGGGCACCCTTGACCTCTACTTGTGTCCACTCAAAAATGCAACCCAGGGGTGCTGCTGTGTGTGGGATTGATGACCATGTTCTCAGTTGCTCAGTGATCTCTCCTTCTGGGCTTGTTCCCCCCAAGATGGCAGCCTGCCCTGGTGAGTCTCTCTCAGCTCTTGGCTGCCCTGTGTTATGGAAGTGTAAATCCCGGACACGTGGAAGGAATGTGTTGATCTGTCTTTCGCTCCCTGGTGTCCTATCGGCTCAAGCTCCATATTCCTTTCCTCCTCAGGCACAGAAGCCCGAGCCACAGGGCATCAGGTCCCTCCCCCCTGTTCAGGACTTGCCTAACCAATCTGCTGTCACTGAGCAACATTGGGGCTGCCTGGGTGTCAACTCTGGAGAGCGTAGCACCACGCTGCCCTCTCAACCTCGCTGCCCAAACCCCAGGCCCCGACGGGCCCGAACCTGGAGGGATGGCAGCCGATGGGGGCATGGAAGACATTAGGAAGAAAAGGAACGGCCAAGACACTTTTTTCTTTAACAAGCATTTAACTCTGCATCAGGAGACGCCAACACAGTATTCTCTTTCAGCCAGGTCAGCATCTGGATCTCCACGCCAGCTGGCAGGGGAGGATGGGCACTGTCAGGAACTCATTCGCATCTGTGGGCTTTTGTACAGGACTTCCCTAGGCCAGTGTGCAAGGCTTACACCAGGGCACAGCCCAGCAAAGCTAAAATCCCCGGCCATTTGGCACCTAGAAAACACACAAACTGTTCAGTGTGGGAGACAGGGGTTCCCAGGGACAGCCCCTTGCACCACTTCTCCTCTGTCCTGGTTCCTTCCTGCCCCAGCTGACCACTGAGGATTAGTAGGGAGAGGAAAGAAAGGAATAGAACGTATGCCAAAAGTAACACCGATTCGGATCCTGAGTGAGGGCCAGGTATGATTTAGGACGTCAACTCTGCTTGTTGGCCCAAGTTGAAGCATGAGTTTTTACTATTTAATGGGGAAAATATAAATTGAGGAATTAAAAATAGATCCTATTCAAGGTCATCAAGTGGGGTCCTCCCTAAATGAGCCCTATCTGGTATTGGTAAATAACCTGTTAGCTGCCAAACCTCTGCCACTATGCATTTCTAGCTCTACTTTAGTTGGTAAGGAAACTTGAGCCAAGGAAAGGTTTGAGTGGGATGCCTCTAGTACCAGAGTAAGGCAACAAAATCAGCAAGAAAGTTTGCTGATGCCTCACACTCTTAAGAAAAGTTCCCCAGCCCTGTTAGGAAGGGATTGTGGCCAGGCATGGTGGCACGCTCCTGTAATCCTAGCTACCTGGGAGGCTGAGATGGGAGGATTACAATTTAACAAGACCCTGTCTCCAAAATGATACAAAAAGGACTGGGGAACTCAGCCAGGGGTAAAGCTCCCTGAGTTCAGTCCCCAGCACTGACCAAAAATAAGGAAGGGATGGTAGGTGTAATGCCAGTGCCAGTGGCAGACAATTTCAATTCTCAGGATGTATGTAGACCTTTCCAATCTGATTCTATGGGAGTCCTTGCCCAGCATGCATAGTCCCTGACAATCCGGTTATGTTGCTGCTAAGAACTCACCCGCTCACCCATCCACCTACCCATCCATCCATCCATTCATTCACTCATTCATTCATTGCAAAAAATATATTATGGAGCACCTAGCTTAGTGCCAAAAGGAGCTTTTACATTCTTCAGGCCACCCAATGCCATCATAGCCGCTGTGGGTTTGGCAATATTTTTTTCTTATATTTGATCTCCTGGGTCTGACATTCAAGCACACTGTGCTTCTGTATTCAGGATTCCTCTGGATTCCACCCTCAAGATGGGAGCCACAGGCTCCACCAAGTAGAGACAGAGAAGGGAATTGTCAGAGAAAGGAATGTGAGGAGAGGTGCTTACTTCTCAGTGTGGCCTCTGTCCAGAGTTCTTGGCACCTGGGTCTGGAGCCACGGCTGCAGGGTGACCTCCAGAGGGAGGGTTGGGAGAGGCCTCATCCAAGGTGCAGGTCCTAGGCTGGTCCTGCCTTCAAGGGCTGCTTTCGGAGAAAGAAAGCTAGTTCCTGATTTTTGATCAGCCCAGGAGAACAAACTCGCTGGGAACAGGGAAAGGAGCAGTGTAAGAAATAGGAAGGAACTGGCTTGAAAACATTCACTAGGGTCCTGAGGTCAATGTTCTTTCCAGCAAAATGAGGAACATGTGGGGACCCCATAGCTGCTATGCCTCCTCCTGGCCCTAGAGTAGCAAGAGCATCCCCCAGGCTGTAGATTGGAAGTGGGAGCCACTTCTAGCATAAGTCAAAAGATGGAATTTGCAGAGAGACCCCAAGAATGACCCCCTGCCTGATGCTTGCCCTGGCTCCAGGGAGTTTGCTTTTAGACACCTCCTACCCCAGCTCCAGGAAGACTGAAGAAGAAAATAGTGGCTTTCCCCTTTCCTATCCATATGTTGTCCTCCTGACCATAGCCTGCATTTACCCTCAGAACAAACTAGAAAGCTCTGGTCCCCTTCTCTGTACACACAAGTGTCCCCATATTCTCACCTTTTCCTGACAGGGGCCAGGAGGCTCTGTTGAAGGGCAGCTCCATTACAGCCCTTGGTGAGAGCTGAGGTAGAATGGGATGAAGAGGGAAAAAATGTCAGTCCTGGATAGGGGTAACTTGACATCTTTGTCATTTCCCAAGATCCTGACCACCATGGCCATATGGAGCCAGCGACCTTGAGCTAACATTGAAATGCCTCCCCAGAGTAACCAGAGGCTGCAGGTAGCAGGAGGGTGCTGGCTCATGGAGAGGGGGCTATCCCCAGAGTATCTCTAGCCACACACCAGGTGGGGAACAGGGAAAGAGGGTGCAGTAGCCGGAAGTGGAACCTCTGAGCCATACTTCCAGGTGGCCAAGCCCTGTCCTCCCATTTCTTACTTCAAATCGGGATCTAAATGTGAAATGACCACTTCTCATTAAAGGCCACCTTCATTGCTGCCAAAAAAGAAAAATAAAGAGAGGAGGGAAGACTGCTGGAAATATGTATGTTCTAAATAACATTGCCTTTGATTGATAAACCCAAATCAGCCATTCTCCAGTACAGGCGTGGAGAATAGGATCTGGAAACCCAAAAAGGGATTGAAATAGTTGCTGGATGTTGCAATGGGGCAGCATAAGGAAGGGCCATCCTTCAGCTCTTACCATCCACCAAGGCTTCATTCTCCATAGTCTGGTCCTGCCGGGGTGTTCTCTGTGGCCCTGATGCTCAGACTTCATTGAGCCTCCCAAGTGATGCCAACCCAATGTCTCACTGTTTCTCTTTGGCTCTTCTCTCGTGTTTAGGAAGATCCCTCCTGCGGCAGATAGCCCCATGCCCTCGCCAGCAGCCCACATCACCACCCCTGTTCCAGCATCCGTTTTGCAGCCTTTCAGCAACCCCGGTGCTGTGTATCTTCCTTCAGCTCCCATCAGCTCGAGACTCACCTCTTCTTACATAATGACATCAGCCATGCTCTCAGACGCAGCTTTTGTGGCATCGCCGGACCCGCGTGTCCTCATGTCCCACACCACAGCTTTCCCCCATGTGGCCGCAACCCTCAGCATCATGGACTCAACCTTCAAGGCCCCATCTGCCGTGTCCCCGATACCAGCCGTCATCCCTTCCCCATCCCACAAGCCATCCAAAACCAAAACCAGCAAATCCTCAAAAGTCAAAGACCTGTCCACCCGTAGCGACGAGTCTCCAAGTAACAAAAAGAGGAAGCCCCAGTCTTCGACTTCCTCCTCCTCCTCCTCTTCCTCCTCCTCCTCTTCTTCCTTGTCCCTGCCGCCTTCCCTCTCGTCTCCATTGTCAGGGCCCCACAAAAAGAACTGTGTCCTGAATGCCAGTTCCGCTCTGAACTCCTATCAGGCGGCCCCTCCCTATACCAGTCTGTCTGTGCACAACTCAAACAATGGGGTGAGCCCACTCAGTGCCAAGCTGGAGCTCTCAGGACGGACCTCGCTGCCCGGCGGCCCCGCGGACATAGTGAGACAGGTGGGCACGGTGGGCGGCAGCAGTGACTCCTGTCCCCTCTCTGTGCCCTCCCTTGCGCTCCACACAGGGGACCTCTCTCTGGCCTCACACAATGCCGTGTCTTCTCTGCCCCTCTCTTTTGACAAATCAGAAGGAAAAAAGCGTAAGAACTCGAGCACTAGTAGCAAAGCCTGTAAAATCACTAAAATGCCTGGTATGAATAGCGTTCACAAAAAGAACCCACCCGGCCTTCTTGCACCGGTGCCCGAGCCCGTTAACAGCACCTCCTCTCGGCAGGTAAGGGACCTCCTGGCACAGCCTTCATCGGCTCTGGGGGGCAGGGGGAGCTGGGCAGTGCCCCTGCTTGGCCAGGTGGCTCAGACAGGTAACGCAAGCGTGGCTCCTTTTCTCATTTTCCCTGTAGGCAACCTTCACCCTCTGCTTTGAGAGCAGTTTATTTAACAAATGCTTCAGAGACTCTCACTGTGAGCTAGGCAGTGTGCTGAGCACATTACAACCATCACCCCATTTAGTCCTCACAGCCATCCAGTGCGATTGGTAGAATTGTTGTTGCCACTTTACAAATGGGTAAACTGAGGCACGGAGCGTTTGAGTTCCCCACTCCACTTTTGTTGATTTTTTTCTATCTTGGGTTTATCAGGATGATTTCATTAAAGAGTTCTGGTGTTAAGAAGTTTGATTTGATCTGTTGGAAACCCCTCAGGAAGAGCCCAAGATCCAAGCAGGTTTAATGGCTAGGGAGTGGTAACCTGGTTTCCCAGGTTCCAGGAGATTGTCCGCAGTTCACCAGGCTGCCTGGATCCATGCCCGCTCCTAATGTAACTCTTTCCTTCCTAAAGGAAAACGGCAGCTCACGCCAAATGCATGTATCATGAGGACGCTGGGAAAACGTGGGTGGCCCAGCTGGGTGCAGTGGCACACACCTGTGATCCCAGCAACTTGGGAGGCTGAGGCAGGATGATCTCAAGTTCAGAGCCAGCCTTAGCAACTTAGTGAGGCCCTAAGCAGCTTAGTGAGACCCTGTCTCAAAATACAAAAAAAGGGGGGGGGGGCTGGAATGTGGCTCAGTGGTTAAGTGCCCCTGGGTTCAATCCCCATTACCAAAAATAAACCAAAAATGTGGGTGATCCAAGAAGAATGTGTGTTTCATTCCCTTGGGCTCCATTCCCAGTCCCAAATCCAGTCTGTCTTCTCGGGCTGGAGGAGCTACTTGGGAAAGGCCGCCACCACCCACTCCTCAGCCCAGCTGGTGGGAGGACCAATGCCTGCCCAGAGACTGGAGTTCAGCCTGAGGCCAGTGACCTAGAATTCATGGGCTAAACCATAAGGCTGGTCCAGGATAGGGATGAGGACTTTGGAAAGATGGGAGGCAGAGGTTAAAAGATGTCTTCATGTTTTATGTCACCATGTATGGGACTTGTTAAAACCCCATGAAGAACACCTCCTGAGGGAGGGGGAGTCACAAGTACACACTTGAACAACAGCAAGTTTGGAGCCCAAGGGGGCCAGACAGCTGCAACGAGGCCAAGTTGAGAGGAGTGCAAGATGCAGGTCCTCTGTAGCACCTGGGTCCATTCTGACCCCCCTCCCAGTTCCAGAAATAGGGATGGGGCCCTACCTGCAGACTAAACTGCTGGCCAGTGCTAGCACCAGTTTCAGGATGGAGGACACAGCCAGGGCTTCTCAAGCTAGAACGTGCACATGAATGTGAAAATGCATATTCTGCCAGGTGCAATGCTGCATGCCTTTAATCCCAGCGTCTGGAGAGGCTGAGGCAGCTGGATGGCAAGTTCAAGGCCAGCCTCAGCTACTTAGCAAAGCCCTAAGCAACTTAGCAAGACCCTGTCTCAAAATAAAAAGGACCAGGGATATAGCTCAGTGGTAGAGCATCCCTGGGTTCAGTCCCCTGTACCAAAAACATTCACATTTGGAGTGAGCAGGCTTGAGGTTGGGCCTTTGCAGCCAGGCCCAACACAGCCCACCATGTACCAAGGACAGTCACAGAGGAAGGGACATACCCACATGTCCCCAGTACTGCCGTCCCAGGGACCCAGCTGGGCACAGAACCCTGACTTCCAGGCAGGGCCACTACACTACACTGGTTTGCTGACCATGCCTTGGACAGCAAAACCATGATATCTCACTCATTTTAGATAGAGTTCTAGCAGCTGACACGTGTGATGGTCTCTGTTCCAAGCACTTCAGATATATTAACTCAATAATTACCTGTCATTGCCCCCATCGTAGAGATGAGTCAACCAAGGCACAGAAAGGTTACCCAGCTCACACAGCAAATAGAGTAGGTCTGGGATTTAAAGACAGGCATTTTGCTCTGGAGTCGGGCTTTTGGCCTCCATGCTGTTAAGGGGCTGTCTCCACATTGAGAGACAGCTGCTCTCTTGGTTCTGGGGTCTGCAGGACTGTATGAAATGCTTGGGTGCCACAATGAATCAATCAAAAGCAGTGGCAAAAAAAAAAATCAGATGAGTCTCCACCAGAGTGATTGTCAGGAGGAGAATCAACACTGGTGTTCACCTCTAGGGATTTCCAAGTGTTGGGAAAAGGCCATGGCCTTTGGGGTGTGCACTGATGGTCTTAGAAGGTTGGGAGAGTAAAAGCATAAAGTTGAAAAATCCAAGATAAGCCTGAGCTTTGGGGACAACTTGAGGATCCATTGAATTATATTTGGTAGATATAAGGCCAGAATTTGCTACCAAGGTATTAAACAGACATGAACTGAGACTGTGTTGCAGGCAAATATCTTTAGGCAAAGGTGAGTTGATGTTGAGGAGGATCTGTGTACAGGCTGAAAGCACTAATTGCCTTTGCAGCCAGGCCTGGTGGCGCCCACCTGTAACCCCATTGGCTCAGGAGGATGAGGCAGAAGGATCGCAAGTTCAAAGCCAGTCTCAACAAAATTAGCAAAGCCCTAAGCAATTTAGTGAGACCCTGTCTCAAAATTAAAAATAAAAAAGGGCTGGAAATATGGCTCAGTGGTTAAGCACTCCTAGGTTCAACCCCTGGTACAAAAAAAGAAAAAGACTTGCCTTTGCAAACAAGTCAGGAACAAGGCACTGGCCCCTGATATTAGCTCCCACGATGTCCCAGCCCACCACGTGACAAGGACAGTCACAGAGGAAGGGATCCATCCACATGTCCCCAGTACTGCCACCCCAGGGTCCTAGCTGAGCACAGTGTCCTGCCCTTCCTACACTTGCAGGGGCAGCCAGCACCATTGTGCTGATTTTCTGAATGCTGTCTCCTGGCCAGAAAACCCGATGCAGAAACAGGCCTAGGTGTCTTTAGCCACTGATGGTCCAAGGGAATCTGGGCTGGAGACAAGGTGGGTCTGCAATGTGGGTCAGAGGTAGGTGAACTTGTGTAGCCCACACGTGGACGTGCTGGGGTTCCCAGGAGAGGCCAGCTTCTCACCAGATACTTCACCCTGACACTTGCAGTCTGTCCATCTGGGGAGCAAAATTAGAAGTTCGCTACCATCCTACTTTTCCTCTGGGAACCATTGTCACTTTCTCTGCCACTGAAGATGGAAAGGCTCATTCCGAAGCAGTGTGAGAGAATGAGGCCCGTTGCACAGCCCTGCTCCTCACCCCCAGCAGTGTGGTGTCGGAGGGACTTTCCAAGGTGCCTCTGGTGTCTGAGTGGGTTTCACTGGTGTCTTTCAGGTTGGGAAAAATAGCAGCCTAGCTTTGTCACAATCCAGTCCTTCAAGCATATCCAGCCCAGGACACAGCCGACAGGTAAGTTAATGGGGGTCACAATGATCCACAGAGTCCATATCAGGGCAAAAAGAGTGGGCTGGGCATTGGGGTCAGAGGTCAGACCCTAATTCAAACCTCACCTCTAGTTAAGAGTGTGATTACCTGGCTCCCAAACCTAGCTAGGCCTTCTCGTTATTAACTTTACTCCTTGAACAAGTTACTTAACTTCTCTGTGCTTCCATTTCCTCATGTATAAAGGGGAGCCCCTCATGGCCACTAACGCCGTAAGGCTCTTGGGAGAATTAAATTAGTTTATTCACATAAAATCTCTGGAAAATGCCTGGCACGCAGCAAACACACAAGTGTTAGCTGTTATTATTATTATCAGATGTGTGATCGTAGGCAGATTGCTTCTCTGGGTCTCGGTTTTTTCATCAGTTATGTGCCAAAATTGGGCTGGCAGGGTAGCCTCGTGGTAGAACACTTGCCTGGTACACATGAGGTCCTGAGTTCAATCCTGAGTGCTGCAAAAAAAAGAAAAGAAAAGAAAAGGGCAAAATTGATGCTTACGTCCTAATAGCATTGTGAAATTTAAATAAGATGATGTTGATTAAAGGGCTTACTCGTGACATTTATCAGTCTGTGCTTTCTCAAAGGCCTGGTGAACTGTACTTGTCTTTCAAGATGTGGTTTCATGCTAGGCATATTCAGGATAGATTTAGCAGTTTTTATGAACTTGAGGTGTGAGAGTAGTCAACGTACAAGCTCAGGGATATGATTTTTCTCAGTGGAGTGTGTGTGCGTGTGTGTGTGTGTGTGTGTGAAGAAAGCAAGGAGGGTCAGGGGTGGGGTTGTGCCTCAATTACATGTCATGTTGTTTTGGACATGCAGTCATGTTTTATAGACACTAAAGAGCAACATGTTTGTGTTTTGCCCTTTGAGATTTTCCCACAAATCTTGGGTAGAGTGTAGGGGAAAAAGATTACGGGGAAACTTTTTGTATCCCTAGATGCAAAGGGTCTCCCCACTATTTTGAGTGGCTATGGGCCTCTTTGCACTTGAGCCTCTGCAGCCTATCATCTGTGCTAGTCTGGGAGGGTGGCGCCTCTATGCTTAGTCAGCTTCTGTGGTGGGGGGGGCCCTGGCAGAGGTTGCTGAGTGTGTCTAGAGAATACATTTTCACCCTCACCAAGCATGTGTCCATAGCTCCAGGTCCCTTGCTGGGAAAACGAATGCTGGCAGTGAGACTTAATAAATATGGAATAATACCAACAGCTACTACTTGGTGAGCACTGTCTCTGCAGCTGTGCTAAGCCCTTTACATACTGTATGTACATACTTGTAACAACCCCATGAGGGACAAGAGTATACTCCTGTGATAGATGGAGATGGCTGTCCTAAGAAGCTAAGTAACTTGAACCCAAAATCTTGCTTCTCTAAAGCCTCTGTATTTAACCCAACGGTATACTCCTTCCTTAGATAATTCATTGGGCCATCTGTAGGTTATGTAGGAAAAGGTGAGCCAATAGAGGGGAAAAAAATGAAGACATCACTTATTCCAGTCCTCTCTCCAGGAGAGGAGTTCCAGGAATGTCCACTGCATTTGTCCCTGTGTTTTCCTCCAGTCCTAGGATCATGGTGACTACATAACATATCTGGAGTCCTTTATAGCCATCACCTCATTTGCTTATTACAGCTGTCCTTTGCCATGTACTGGAGGTAGGATGTTATCCTTTCTGTTATGGTTGAGAAAACTGAGGCTCCATCCTTGAATTTTCATGGGCTATCCCAAATGTATGGTTTTGAAACAAGTTTTTCTTTTCTTTCCTAGAAGAACACAAACAGAATGGGCAGGATAAGGACTCTTCCATAACAAGACTATGAAGCCACTTCCAAAACAATTCCTGGTTGTGATCCCACCCCAGGAGGCCATGGCAGGAGGAGGAGGGAGGGGAGTGGGCCCTTGGGGAGTGTCTCTTCCCTATGCCCTGCCTGTGGCTCTGGCCTTTCTTCTTCTTTTTTTTTTTAAATGATCAGTTTTTTTTTGTTGTTGTTGTTTTTGAAGAAACAGAAAAAGGCAAAAGAACGTGGATTTGAAACTTTCAGAAAACAATACCAGTGTTTTCTTTCCATTTTTCATTTGCCACATTTATACATTCTTCCAAATTTGGGGTCACTTCCCTCACTCCTGATGCTGCTACCCCACCATAATTTTGCTCCTGCCCTGAGAGCAGACGTCGCAGAATGTCAGTTCTGGGTTGGCGCCGTCTGAAGCTCTTGAACTTTAGCACATGCAGAGCTCTTCTTCCTTGTTCTCTCCCACCGCATCCCTCCCATCCCCAACCTGCCACTCACAGGGCAGGAGGGGCCCACTGGCCATCAGAAGTGGCTGGATCCCACCAGTACCCCCTGGACAGCATGCTGGTGAAGGGGTTTTGTTAGGGAGGATCCTGAGAGGAAAGAGCCAGAGGGTATGTGAGTGCCCTCAACAGATTTCTGCAGCCCAGCAGGCAAAATTGAGAACATTGGCTGCTTAATGACCTGGTTTACCAATACCAGTGTCTAGCTGTACAGCTCAGAAAAGACATACAGGAGAAGCAGAGGGGACCTGGAAGAGTGGTAGAAAGCAGAACCTGGCCAGTAGGAGACAATGTCCCTTAAAAAATGGTGGGGACCAAGTAACTGTGACGGTCTGAGCTTGTTAGGAATCAATTCTGCAGAATCCCTTCCAGGGCACGGTGTGCAGGTTCCCAAAGTTGAGTGAGTCAGAGATGGAGGAATCCCAGGGGAAAGGCCACTGAACCAAAAAAGTCACTCCATCAGGAAGCATGGTGATCTTCAGCTAAAGGTTCTCAAGTTGCCCTCTGGGGACAGGAAAGATCCTCAAGGGGAAAGCCTCCATGGAGGATCATGTATCAAATCCCTTGTGAAAATAAATACTAGCATTGCCCACTCATGCCCAGAGGGGAGCTTGCATTGCCCACCTACACCCAGAAGTGAGCATGCATTCTGTTCTCAGATGCCCCAACTCAGACAGCCACCCCTGAGAAGGAATGGTAAGGATGTGCCATCGCTTAGTGAAGAGCCATTTGGAAGAGCTGAAGAGAGACATTGGAGCATCGCAGCTATGAAGTTTTTCACACTGGAGTTTTGAAAGAAACAGCAATACCATAAACTCTAATAAGGAATCATCATCAGGAACGGAATTCCTAATGTGAAATAGGTGTTCTGTGCTATTAATTAATCTGATAAGTTTGCATACAACAGAGATGCTAGGAGGTTCTCTTTCATCCTGAAATCAGAAATGCTAGTCTCGCGGCTGGGTGCAACCCCCAATCCCAAGGTTTTCCTTTATTTTCCCATCCCCCAACCCAAAGATCAGACTACTGTTAAGTTTCACCACACGATTGGAATCTGCAAAGGTGGGAGGCCAACGGAGTGATCTGCATTGATGGAATTGCACTGACAGTATTTCTTATAGGATTACTAAATTTTTTAATATAAAAAAAGATTTTTTTAAAAATCAGGAGTTGATATTAAGTACCAGGACATTAGTTCAGATTATTTCATTTTTATTTCAACAGTGTTAAAAGTGCACTTATATGCTGGTTTATTTGAGTCTTGGAAAAAAGAGACTGCAAATTGAAGGGACGATTGTTAACTTTTTCTTTTTAAAAAAAAAAAGGTTAAGGCAGATTTTAAGACTTATAAATGTTTAAGAAATTATAAACAAGGTTAGACCCTTTGAAAAAAAAGTTTAGAAGATATTCTTAAAGTAAATTTTTATAGTGTTAATTTTGTAATAATTTATGTTTTACTATATTACAGAGCTAACTGACCAGAATAGTTTCAGAAACAATATGAAACTTAGGAAAGTTTAAGCAATGTTTATATTTTTAAAATGTTCTTTGAATTATGTTTTTATTGTATGTTTCTTCAGACCGAAAAGTATGTACATATCTTTGTTATTTTTGCACAATTTTTGTCTTGTTCGGTTTTAGAAGTCTGATGTTTTTTATAATTTATTTTGAGTTTTAAAACTTGCAGGAGTAGAAACAAAACCAATCTCAGCAACAAAATAACCCTCTGATTTATAAACTTTTACACTCGAAGAGGGAAAACAAAGGTTGAGAGATGAAGTGGCTGCTTCTGAGAAATAATGTCTCAACAGGGACTGATGGAGCGGGTTCAACATTTTAGCTCCCTGCGTCTTGAAATGGAAGCTGGAATAAAGAGGTTCCTCACCAAATGCTGCTTACTTTCTTGAAAAACTGGCTCTGACCAAGGTGAGGACATTTATGGATAACTGAGCAAAAAGGGAAAACCCACGGTATTTCTTCTTTCGCAATCAACCACAGGTTTACTTTGTAATGATGTATTAAAACTTGCAGCTTGAAAAGTGGAATGCAAATAAAGGTTTTCTTTGGGTTTATTTTCATGGAGTTCAACTGGACCAGCCTATAAAGCATCTTTAGGGTGGTATCCTTTGGGTCCTTCTGTTCTGCACACCCCCAAACAGCCTTCTCTCCCAGCCCCTTGACTGCACACACCCCTATTTGCCTGAAGATCTCCTGACTTGTCGCCAGCCATAGAGGCTCGAAAGCTCTGGTTAAACATAACGCAATGCATAGACCTGTCAGCCATAAAAAAAAAAAAAAAAAAAGGAAGAAAGAAAGAGGAAAAAAAAAGCGACTTGGATAACTTGTATGCCTTCTTTTGTATCAATGTACCAATTGTAAATAATGCTGATCAACCTTTGTAGAGAATAGTTTATACAGCATATTCTATTATTGCTGATTCTCAGTGAACTCTTGTTTTAAAAAAGGAAAAAAAAGAAATTTTCTATTTACACCTTATATTTTGTTATGCTGTTGGCCCATGGCACTTTAACAAAACTCTGTGGGTTTAGGTAGCTGGTCAGTCATGGGGTACATTAAATAACTGTTGTTGCACAGACAAGAATTTGCACCTGCTCATTTGTCCTTTCCTACTACCGATTTTAGAACCTTTTCCAGAAGAATTTTGAAGAAAGCATGTCCAATCATTCTAAACAAATGCCACACTTGTGGAGTGGGTTTCTTTTCTACGATCCATATTTTGTAACACTAAGTATTTTCCTTCTTTGTCCCGCACCTTTATGTATTAGCACTATCAGATAGAATTCATTCCATGCCTGTGATATTGTAAGCAGAATAAATGTAAGGAGGTGTAAATAGTAAATTATATGGCTTACAGTTTTAAAAAGAAAGAACAAATATGTATCTATTGATACTGCCATGGTTCAGCATCAGGCCTGGAAATATTCTCCAGTAAGCGATTGTAATTATTATTTTTTTTTGCTTTTTTTTTCTTTTGTAACATGGCTTTGTAAATAAAATAATTTATATGTTTGTAAAAAAGAAAGAAAGAAAGAAAGAAAGTCTTGGGGTTTTCATAAATTCTAAACTTTTGGTCTGCCTTTCTTTTCTTGTGGGTGACAGCACTGTCACCAGAAGAGCCTTCTCCCTAGAACATACGTTTGCAGCAGGAGATGACGGGGATAGTGAATTCATTGGCCAAATATTTATGGAGCCTCCTCTCTGTGCCTGCCCCTGAGCTAGGCGCTGTGTGTTCAGTGAAGAGAAACAGACACAATCCCAGCTGCTCTCTGGAAGCTACCCAGTCGGGGAGAGAGCAAATAAACACATGATCAAATGTGTAATTACAGCTTGTGGCCAATGCTATGTGGAAAGAACTGAGTTTTATGGGAGAGAAAAAAAACAAGAGAAACTGGTGTGAATTGGAGAGGGCAGGTCTAGAGGTCTCTAAAGAAGGGAGCAGAAGGCAGAGATCATCCAAGGTAGGAAAGCTTGGTAAGCCCTCAGGGCATAAGGAAGGGTTCACTCTGGACACAGCAGAGACAGAGAGATGGACAGAAGTTAGGGACAAAGTCACATAAAGCCTTGTAGAGTTTGGATTTTGTACTAAATTCAGAGGGAATTCTTTGAAGGGCTTTAAATAAAGGCATGACATGATCTATTAAAAAAGTTTTCTAGGGGCTGGGGTTGTGGCTCAGTTGTAAGGTGCTTGCCTAGCATGTGTGAGGCGCTAGGTTCGATCCTCAGCACCACATAAAAATAAATAAAGGTATTATGTCCATCTACCACTAAAAAAGATTAAAAAAAAAAAAAGTCCATGTGGTCCCAGGATAAAGACAGGAGCTATGAAGAGAAGGGAACTGGCGGAGCATGGTGGTATACCCCATAATCCTAGCAACTTCTAAGGCTGAGACAGGAGGATTGAAAGTTCCAGGCTAGCCTCAGCAACTTAGTGAGACTCTGTCTCAAAATAAAAATGGCTAGGGGGGCTGAGGTTGTGGTTCAGCGGTAGAGCGCTCGCCTAGCACGTGCGAGGCCCTGGGTTCGATCCTCAGCACCACATAAAAATAAATAAAGATATTGAGTCCAACTACAACTAAAAAAAAAAAAAAAGTTGTCATGACCTTTTAAAAAAAATGGCTAGGGATTTGGCTCAGTGATTAAGCACCCCTGGCTTCAATCCCCAGTACCAAAAAAAAAGAATAGGTTCAAGATACATTCTAGATATAAAATTAACGTGACTCATCTGAGGAAAGAATGACTCCCAGGTTTCTAGTAGAGCAATGGTGTTGGGTAGAGGTGTGAAAAACCAAGGCAGGAAGAGATTTTTTTAGGGGGCCGCAGGAATCGTGTTTAGTGAAGTTTGGGAATCCCATTGTGTGCTCTCCACATGAGCGGCCCAAGGTGATCTCTGAAAACTGTTCAGTGTTCACTTGACCCAGAAAACCCTACAAAAATCATGCAAGTTAAGAGGTTCCTCAGGAGCTCAGGGAAACTGCCCAGCCCATCAAAGGTAGGCCTACCCCAAAAGCCACCAAGTATCTGAAAGGCGTCACCTTACAGAAGCCATGTGTGCCATTCCATTATTACAGTGGTGGATTGGGAGGTGTGCCCAGGCCAAACCTTGAGGCTGTACAAAGGGCCAGTGGTCCCCCAAAAAAGGGCTGAATTTTTGCTACACAGGCTTCATAAGGCAGAGGGTGCTGCTGAACTTAAAGGTTTCGGTAGATTCTGTGGCTACTGAGCACCTCCAGATGAACGAGGCACCCAAGATGCACATCATACATTCAGAGTCCAGGCTCAGGTTAACTCAGACACAAGCTCCCCCTCCCACATCAAGATGATCCCCACTAAAGAACAAGTTATTCTTAAACCAGCAGAGGAGGTTGCACATAAGAAAAAGATGTTCCAGAAGAAACTAAAGGAAAAAAATCACCTGGGAGTTTGTCAGTATGAGCAAGACCCTGGGTTTAATCCCTGGGGGTGGGGGAAGGTGGGTAAATTCAACATCAAATAAAGGTAAATAGGAGTTAAATATTAAGTTTTGTTTTATACTTAGATATTTGATCATGTAAGAGATGACAGTAAAATGTGTAACTGTCCCTGATGCTGCTTTATCAGGAAGGCATGGTGCAGACACTATCGGCTGATCTAGGTTGGCACTGATTTGGGAAGCAGGTCCATGGAGGTTATTTAGAGCCATAAGTATGGTTGAGTGAGGTTGCTTAAGAGAATGTAAAGGGAGACAAGCAGACATTGGGGAAGTTGAGTAGAAGCCAAAAGCTGGCAAGGATGAAGCACTCACTGAGAAAAGAGAACACAACAGAAAGTGGTTCCCTGGAAGCCAGGACTTTAAGATGTTCAAGGAGCAGTCAACTAAATCAAATGCCACTGCAGTGTAAGAGAGAGATGGAATGTGTCTGGGGTTTTGCAACACGGAGGTCATTGAAACTACCACACAAATTACCACAACTTTGGTGGCTTAAAATCACAAAAATGTATTCTCTCACAGTTCCGAAGACCAAAAGTCTCTAGACTTCCAAAGGCTGTGGAGAATCTTCCCTCACCTCTTCCAGCTTCTGGTGACTGCTGACATTCTTTGGCAAATCTCGGTTTAGAAACATATCACTTCAACCTCTGTCTCCATCTTTTCGGCTTTCTCTCCTGGGTGTCCCCGTGTCTTACATCTCCACTATCTTTCTCTTACAGGGATACCTGTCACTGGACCTAAGCCCCAGTTTAAATCCTGGTTAATCTCTAGATGCTTAACTCAATTACATCTACAAGTTCCATTTTCCAAATAAGTCCATACTTATAGTTTCTGGGGTTGGGACTTGAAAATATAGAGAGATTTTATATATTTGTATATATTTTATGTGTGTGTGTGCATGTGTGCACGTGTGTGATTACTATTTAATTCACTCCGGTGACCTGACAGCAGGTATGGTGGAGTTTGGGAGGTGAGGATGGCAAAGCTGAACTGGAATGTTTTGAAGGATGAATGAAAACTAAGCAAGGAAATTCAGTAAGTATAGACAAACCATAAAACGTTGGAAGGCACAGGGTAGTTTGGGATTGGGGTTTTTTGTTTGTTGGGTTGGTTTGTTGGTTGGTTGGTTGAATGGTTATTTTTTTTTTTTTTTTCAAGGAAGGAGAGGCCAGACTATGATGCAGACACTGGTGAGGCAGGGGTAACAGGAGAGCCAGAGGTTGATAAAGCAAAAGAGAAGAGTCCCTGGGAAGGCAAGAGGGAGGGATGGAGGGACACTTCTTTGAGGGAAATAAGGAAGAAGTCAGCTCATGTAGATTCAATGTTGGGAAGATGAGGAAATTTCCATCTGATGGATTCCATTTTCTCA